GTTCATAATGAGAAAAGATAATTGTTTACTTTACTTCTTTATTTACTGTTCTATGTTTTATGGAAAATAACTTTAAGAACTTATTTCAAAACAGCAATAATCTGTATACATATATAATGTATGATAATTGAAATGTGACTGTATTTTACAAAATACTAGTCGACTAAAACACAGCCAAGACAAGTTACTTTGTACAGACCAAAGGTCACCTTTATGTTACTTGGTACGGTAACATGAGTGCACGTGAGCCACGTCGTGGTAACTTCTGTATTGTTAGCCAGGCATGGGTGAAAGGTCAATATAATAAAAATAATAAATATATATAAATGTATAATGTTATGAGATTTAAGCTGTTTCGTCTAAACATTTATGTTTTTGTGTTATAATTTGTGTTCATTTTAGTATGAAAGAGGCATAATTTATGTTTATTTCCTAATTTTTTATAATTTTTGCGAGATCTTTCAAATCTACTGAACCTGTACAGAGATTAGTTACTGAAAATAACAGATAAAATATAAAGTTTTTTTCTTAAGAAATGTTTGATAACTATCCAGACATTATAAAGATTTCACATGTGAAATTTCAAAATTTTCTGATGCATAAAATATTTTAATGTTAATATGAAAATTACTTAGCATGATAGATAGGCAAGATGTGAAAAATAAGGGTATGAGAGAAACTTTGCTTTACAAACCTTAAATCTTGATAAAAAAAAAATTAGATATTTTGTGTATGAAAGCATTTTAATGTTTACTGATAATCTGCCAAATTTTGTTAACATTCACTTACTAATTCAAAAGTTATAGCAAGCACAAAATGGTTAAAAGGTTGGTCCCACAAACTGAGCCCAGGTTGAAAGAGTTAATTAATTGTAGCTTTATGTTTCTAATTAATTGTAGCTTTATGTTTTTAATTAATTGTAGCTTTATGTTTTTAAATAATTGTAGCTTCTTGTTTCTAATTAAAGTGATGCTTTACTTAAAGTTGATACTTAATATTTACATAGGAATTCTTGCTGCATTCGCTACATACACACTGGTAGAAAGTTTCGACTTACCCAAATGTAAATACCACATTAGGCTTCTGTTGTTCTACCCATAAACTGAGCAAGCAAGTTGCTAAACTAAAACATAAAACCAACTTCATTATTACTTGATTTCAAAACATACCCAAGAATTAACATCACTCAAGTAAAGATATATAATGCACACAATCTACAGTGAAATATCCATAAACTTTCAAGTCTTTGTAGAACTAAGGAATATACTTAGTTTATCTGTCACTAATTAATCTTAAATAACATCTAAAAGATTATATCAATATATACAAACTCAACCATCTTAGTTTTGAGGAATATCAAAAATGTACATTCATGAAACTGAGCTATAATTTAACAATATTTAAGTTCCGCTTCACTATACAATGTCACTTAACAAAAAGTTCAAAATGATGGCTTATCTTTACCTGAGTATGTCAAACAATGCCAAATACGTGTATGCAGTAAGTCCTGGAAAAACAAGAAGGAAAAACAGTTTCAATGCTACAAGTTAATTAAATCTTGCTTCTTGGTTTTCACTGTTTCAGACTAGGTTTTACATTTTGGAGACATCTTGTAAACCTAATACATATATATTTCTGCAACCACTTTGTATTACAAGATTCACAACATACAAGACTTTGATATATTTAGAAAATACTCTTGTCAAAATTACTGTCAATTCTGCGAGACAACTATGATCTCACTAATGCAGCACAACACCTTCCCATTACATAAAAAATAAACCAAGAGTGAATTAAGTAAATTTGAAAATGCCAAAAATTATGATTTATAAATGGTAAGAAGCGAAAAGAGAAATAAATAACACCAAACAAGGAAACATGCAAACAAGGTTGATTATCTATCAAATCGGTATTTATGGTTCATAATATTTTCAGTGCACAGACGTGTACTTACCTATACTGTTTGTTGTTTTACACCACACTAGTAATATAACTGTACAAACAGTGTTGAAAATGCCTAACACTAAAATCTTCCTTCCCTGGAAAATGAAGAAGTAATATAACATGAAACCATTCAATTAACATGATTTATTTATTATCAAAACCCAAGTTAAAAGTTTTAGGCCTTATACGTATGGTGGTTCAAGTATAAGAAGCTTAGTACTCTAACAACTCCCTTCTAAGAAATGTAACCTCAATATTAAACGTCATTCAAAGGGTCTTTATATCTTAACACTGATAAAATGGTAAGAATATCTGGAGTAACAACCATTATGTGTCTTTTTTTTTCAGTGCAACTTATATTGCATTAATATACTTTTCAGAGGATTTACTAAACATATACAAGCTAAAATCACATCAATCTAGAAATACTCATCCTAACAACGCAGTTTACATATTATTAATCATTTCTACGTTAAGATATTTCAAAAATTCCATGTGTAGTAAGTAATAAATAAAAAACAAAAATTAGAAACACTCAAAGTTTAGTAAACAGTTACCTGGACAATCCTAAACCGACAAAAGTTGAGTGTTTGTAATAAAAAAACAGTTTGCCATCAGCTTCTACTAATCATTATCTACTCACCCGTGCATCCTGAAGAACTGGTTTTAGCCCGTGTAAAAGAACCCCAAAGGGAGTTATCTGAGGTTTTCCAAAAGGTTTGAAAATTCTCTGAAAACAATATGAACAAATTATAAAAAAACCAGTGAGCTTCTTTGTTAGGTCCTACAGCAATTAGTGGTATTTGCTGATTGGTTAATCAACAGTCTTATCTCTAGTCAGCACTTCAAGAAGAAAAAAAGGTTTGCAACAGTTGCTTCCCTCTAGTGAGTAATATATAATTAGAGACAGTGATGGATAGTTTTAGTAGTTTCACCATAATAAAGAAAGGATGAAAAAGTTTGGTGGTAATGGGAATCAAACTTGAGACCCTCAAATCACAAGATCAAATCTTTAAAGCTGAACAAAATAAATGATTAACTATTTTGGCTTGTAATCAATATAATCACACTCTCAAATTCTATCAGTTTTATTAGTAGCAACAGGATACTGGTTTTATTGCTTAAGTAACTTACCACTATGCCAAGATCCTTTTCTACAGTCATGTTAATGAATAGGTTCTCATCTATATTAAATGTGTGATCCAAATTACTACAACTCAAGTGCATTACCTTGCACTATCTATAACAAAAGGTCATCTGTAAAATACCTGTCCAAGTTGCCAAATGATTCAAATCGTTCTGTAATATCTCGGCATCCTCAATAAAACTATCATATCCAAGGGTTTAACCCTGTGTGTAACTAATTGATAATCTGACATCAAATACATAATACCACGTTGAATTGCACTCCGTAAGAAGTCGTGGCATGCATAGTTAGTCTCAACCCGTGCACACAGGGTTAAACCCTTGGAAGTCGTGGCATGCATAGTTAGTCTCAACCCGTACACACAGGGTTAAACCCTTGGAAGTCGTGGCATGCATAGTTAGTCTCAACCCGTACACACAGGGTTAAACCCTTGGAAGTCGTGGCATGCATAGTTAGTCTCAACCCGCATTTTACCCTACATCACTGATTTATCAACAGTTGCTGGTAGAGGAAAGTAAATACCATATACAGTGTACAGGGATACTGAAAAAAAACAACTGTAGATATACATTTTGGAAGTTCTAGAGATAAAACAAATGCAATACATAAACCGTATTATGGAGAAAAGAAATTTTGACTCTTACAAGAACATTAACTTACAATCCAACTCGTCAGAGTCTGACTCAGATTGATGTCATCAGTTCAGTCATATCTCAACTACAAATACCTTGGTAACACATCTGATTCTTTGTATACAACAGACTTGTACATTTTACTAAATGCTTATCACATTTTGTGTAGATATATACATAGTAAATGTGGAATTATAGTCAACATTTCTTTTCCAGTATGGGTCTGGTAAAATGGACCAATCCTGTGCACATTTGGTTAATGTTAATATCATTGATATAAATAAAAAAAGGCCCAAACACCGACCCCTAAAACACTCCATTAGTAACAAGGGTCCTATTTGACTGGACTCCATCCAACCACCCTACAATTCAATTAACTAGTCTTTCCCCAACCTCTACTGATGTGATTTTCTTAGCTGATCTTTTACGAGGCACTTCATTAAAATTCCAATATTAAAACAGAAAAAACAAATGAATGTAAACCTTTAACATAAATCTCTCCAATTACTATAATTAGCAATATCAACTAAACTTTAAGTAATATAACCACTCAACTATACTGAAATAATAAACAGATTAAACAAATAATGAGACACAATAATACATTTTATGACACCAATACAATTAAAAATGGAACAGATTAAGACACATCCTAAACAGTGGTTGTTGCACAATCCCCTGGACATAAAATGGTTTAATTAATTAAGTTTATCTGAGACTAAACAACAATGATTAACATCTATACAAGTGTCTGAATAAAAACTAGTTTATAATTTCATTTGCCACAATCTTACAGACAAAAGTTAAAACACATACAGGAAGAGTATCTTGCAAGAAACTTATTATTATAATAAATTTTTTGAATCTTTGTTGCTAATACAACAAATCAAGATGCTAAATGTATTTACCAGGACCAAAACTTGAACCACAGACCCTCGATTCACTCTAGTGTTCTGAGGCCGATGCTTTCGCAACGAAGCTACCAAAATTCAAGTCCTACACAGATAACTCTAACCCTAATTATTAAGGAGTTGTTAAAACATATTAGAAAACATTCATTACTTCCATAGACACATCTTTATAGAAGTGGTTTTATATATTAAGGAGCAATACGCCAATAAAGTACTTACTGGATCAGTCTTCTCTGTACCCATGGTCACTACACATGTAAATGAAAAACATAAAAAAATATATATATATATGTCTAAGAATTCTATAACTGGAAGAGAAGAAGCGAGAAAAAAACATGTACAAAAAAAGCCCTTTCTTCATTGTGTCAGATATTTAAGTGAATAATCAAAATATTATCAAATCACATCACCTACCAAACACTGAACAAAAAATACTTTTAACCCTGAAAAACAGCAAAATGTCAAAATGATAGAAGGCTCTTACTGAAATAATGATTTTGTGTAACAAAACATTGAACTGAACTAGCAAATAAAGAAAGAATTATTTTCTGTTAAAGACTGCTTACACACTGTATTCTAAATAGTTTGTTTGACCCTAATGTCTAATTAATGCACAAGTTTATAATCTTAAGCCTAAGAGACTATAGTATATTCCTGTGAGCTCTAAATACCATGTTTACTTTAAATTATTATGAAGTTAATTCTTTCAGTGTTAGAAATAATGACATCAGGTACAAAACAAACATGCACACACAAATAAAAATAGGAACATAATAACTTATTCATTAACAGAGAAATAGGCTTGACTCTAGAGATTAAAATTTTAAGAAAACTATTGTTATAACATATATAAGCTGTATCTTTAATAATATAAGTATTAACTACAGATTTTAATGATATCATTGAGATCAAAAGGCTTAATTAGAGTAGAACATGTATTAGAAAGTTCTAAGGATGGAAAGTTTCCAGTATATTCAAAAGTAGACTATTTACACAAGGTTAGTTAAGTGAATTGTTTCAAAACCCTACTTGACTGTTTTCTATATAACAAGTGTATCTACCAACGTCTTAGCTATTGTACTTATTTTGTACAAGTTGCTATGTTTTACATTAATTAACACCATTGGTAAGATTGCCTACAACAATTTAAAGCAACTTACAAATGTTTTAGTTTGTAGAAACATTAAAAGTGTAAATAAAGTAATTTATTATCGTTACTTGGAATGGACAATGAATTATTTTCACCCACTAATGAGAAACCTATGCTACTACAGTATCTTAGAAAGTTCCGAACAGCAGTACAAATGATACTTCAGCCTTCAGTTTCACAACAACGTCCACTGAAATATGAATAATTGTGAAAAAGTCACAATGATCAAATTAATTAATCTTAATGCAGGGAAGTATTTATTAATGACTAACTAATATATGGAACATGAACTGTAGCTACAGTTCAGGCTTACTGCTTTACACCATGAATTTACATTATACTGTGTATAATTTACTTTAATTTTACAAACTGAACTCACACAAAAGTATCAAAAAACAGTTTAGTAGCCTATTTTATCACTAAACCTTTAAAATACCTGTTGATAGCATCACTGCTTCCAAATTCTACTCACAAAAGACAAATATGTAAAATCTACCTTTTAATAAAACATGACACTACCTTTGATTTTCATAACTTACAGCAAAAAATATTCTCCTTACTATGACATTTAATAACTGCTTAATATAACTATGAAATACATACATAAAAATATATATACTATACCAATTTCAAAATATTCTGAAATACATTTTTAAGTTGATATTTACAAAGCAAACCTTCTTTAAAGTTTACTACCTTGTCAGATTTATCTGATAGTTTATAGTTTACGTACCTCTATTTAGTATTAGTTTAAAGACTAACAAATATTTACTTCTGTTATTGTTAATAACTCACTGTATAAAATTTTCACTTTCACGTGCTATTCCTCTTTTAGCACCAAAAATAGTTTAAAATATAACTACCATTAATAATGTAAAAATAATATTTTTCTTATATTGAGCAAATTCATGGGCACAGTCTCTATCCAATATATAATTATAAGCCAAAAACAGTTTGTATTAAGCTGTAACTTTAAGTTATTTCATATTCGTGAAATGGTAGCTAATTTATAAGTTTAAACTTTTAAATTAAGTAGCCTAAGGTATGACACATCAGTTGCTACTTAAAGTTAAATACTATTTTTATAAGAATATATTCCCTAATTACCAGACCAACAAGAAGTAGAATCACATCAACAGGTCATAGTTGATCATATCGATACAGTATTCATGCATTTCTCTTAAAGTTACACAGACTATTAATAACTGTTCATCTACTACTAGCAGTATTAGTATTACACTTACTTGTACAAAAAAAGGGAGCATCCAATAAACGAATTAGTTTTACATAGTACAGACAGTATGTATATTAGGTCAAGCCGCTTATAAGTTATAAATTTAAATTAAACTTATTCTTTTAAGTCTTGACACAAGAACATACGACTGACCGACGCTTCGGTCCGTTTCGCTTAATTAACACTAGGCTCTTACTTAGCCTATGTTGAACTGTAGCAGAGTACAAGGTATAAACAAATTACACGATACATTATCTTCTCAAAGACATACATGTACTATTTTTTAACAACAACAATAAATTTTCTAAAAACAAAACTCGTTATTAAGCTGAAAACCTAGGGTAGCAAATAAGTCAAAACTACGTTTGCGATTTACCGTTTAGGCTACTACGCCAAATTCAGAATCATATTTAACACGATTACAAAGTCATAACGTTGTGTTGTAAACGGACAAAGACGTATAATAATTTTATTGTACCTTTATAGTTTATAACTCGAACGAATGTTTTCCGCAAAACGTGAGAAGAAAACTTGGACAAAATATAATAACAAATAAATTGACACGTCTAACTGAAAACTTGTTATATTTTATTTTGTTTAAAGTTTCGGGCAAACGTTCAAACTTGTTGTGCAGAATACATCACACTAATCTAATGTTTTTCAACATACTTCAAGGCTTAGAAGACAGCGTAGTAAGGGATGGGATTTAAGAACTCACAAAGTGAACAATTAATTATATATTTTATAGGATATTTTATTTATTAATAAAAATCACCATATCAAGTATTCAGTTATATTCATATGCTACACAAATCACATTATACGGAGTATTTTTCTAAAACGCAAGTTTAGAACTACCTGCATTTTAGACATACTCTGTCAAAATAGGAAGAATAACAGTTCCTTATACATTTTTAATGGGTGATCTTACTAAGTTAATTTTACATAGATTTAATAGCATTGAATGTAGCTTCCCGATTCTTAACTTTCATGACTTTTCTCGATCTTAATTTTATGCACCCTCTAGCAAACATCTAAACTAAAACATTAAAGTTTGTTTTAGAGCAAAGCCACATTGGGCTATCTGCCGTGTCCACGGCGGAAAATCGAACCCCAGATTTGAGCGTTGTAAGTGCGTAAACTTACTGCTGTCCCAGTAGCGGACAAAACATTAAGCCTCCCAGTGGCACAGCGGTATGTCTGTGGACTTACAACACTAGAAACCGGGTTTCGATACCTGTGGTGGGCAGAGCACAGATAGCCCATTGTATAGCTTTGTGCATAAATTCAAACAAACAAACAAAACACTAAAGAAGTG